CACAACATACATTGTGTTATTCAGCTTGTGTTTGGGAGTGCATTGAGATGAACCAGTTTCTGTCTGAGGGTGTTGCTACATCTGAAGTGCAGGGGGAAGTCGTGGGACCACAATGTTGTTCTATTTCTGCCTGGTTGGTGTTTGAAACTCTTTCCTGTACATCTTTGCTGATTTGATTAAGGCTCAGTTGAGATAAGCACAAGTTTTAGGACTTTTCTTTAAACACATCCTTTTCTTTCTTTCTCCTCTGCCTTGGAGGAAACATCCTCTGTGACTTCAAAATTTTAGGTTTCAAATTTTTCAAGCGAATCACTTCAAAAGAGTGAATAAACGTGAATTAGAAAGCATTATCATCACTCATACATTTATTTATGAAGTTGTTGTATGTTTTTAAGTTTGTAGATTTGGATAAATAAGTGAACAGTAGATATGAAGTGCAGTTAAGGGAAATAAAGAGCCACCACAAGTTTCTTTACAAAATTTATTGTCACCGATGCAGAATGGCACAGTGCAGATGTTACCCACCAGTGTGACAGTATGATACAGCTGGTTATTTGATGATATCCACTCCATCGCTAATAGTTTCCAGTGGATTTAAATTGTATTTTTGTCGTGGCAGGTTTAAAGTTTTCACAGGGTTATGGGTTGGATTGGATTTATCTGATGTTGGTCACATAGTTGGAATGTGACAGGCTTATTCTCTTGGATCCACTTTAATGTAGGGTTGCTCAACATGCCCCAGATGAGCATTTGTTTAGCAAGCTCCTGTTGAAAACAGAGAGGAGGAACAAGTGTCAGATTAAGTCTTAAAATTCTTTCTCTGCATCAGAGCTTAATCCTCAACACAAGTCCTTGTTTTACATACCGGACTGCAGCACAGGCTGGAACTGTCCGGCCATGCAGATTTCCTCCTGCTTCTGGCGGACCACTCTCTGGATGGCAGGGGGGAGGCCACGGGGGTTGCGGGAGAAGACTAGAGCATAGCCATCCTCGCAGGTTCCGTCATCATTCAGGGTGCGGCAGGCATAGGTGATGGCGTAGTTGTCATAGTCTGTATCAATGACCCAGTAGTTGTCACCTAGAAGTCAGGAATGAGAAATGAGTCCCAGCTCCATGAAGGAAAGACAGAGTGACAAAGAGAACATGATGAGCAGGCTTACCGCCACTGGACAGGTAACTGGCCAGGCCCTGGTAGTCCATAAACATTTTACCAGGGTTGCCAGGGTCAGGGACTGTGTACTGAGCAGCCATGTCAGCACAGACAACCCAGAACCTGAATACAGAGGAGAGGAAATATGCAGCAAATGCAAGCGTATTCATGACCTCACATTGAAGCTGCTACCAAGTATGTTGCAAATACCCACCCAAAGAGAGTGACTCTGCCTCTGGAGGAGGCCACCATGGAGCCATCATCGCCAACCGTGTACTCAGCAGAGATGTTGTCCTGCAGGAACAAACCCTCAGGATCTTTCTTCTGCAGAGCGTACCACTTCCCTGCGTACTGTTGTAGGGAAGAAAGGGCAAAGATGAGCTTTATTTTGATTGGCATGTCTATAGTATGGATATACACACTGAAATGTGCGAATATCACAGTAAGTAGCACATAGTTCATAAGTTCATATGTGTGATTGTATGCCGATGATGTTCTGGTTCATGAGCCACATTGATCATTTTGTTCCTGTTTTGGTTATTTTTTTAACTACTTATTATACACCAGTGTTACTATAAATACAGTCAAGCTAATTCAGATTACAGAAAGTTCAAAAATACACAGAAAAAGTCTTAGAATATATTTCAATTTTTGATCTCGTAATGAAAGGGTTAAGAAGTATCCTTAAAAGACACATTTGCGTACTCACTCGTTTGGGGTCAAAGTCCTGTTTGACTGTGAAGCTGTCCACCACACAGGAGGCCAGGCTGTGCTCCACACAGGCCAGGAGCATCATCACCAGAGCAAAGATTTGAAAATTCATCCTAACGCAAAACCCAAATTAACACTGTATTATGATTTGTTTATATAAAGGTGTAAAGTCAGCATTCCTAAATCATTTTGACACTAAAATCCTCATAAATGGTTTAAGAACAAGAAAGGGTTGTTCTTTGAGCTCCATATTTATTTGTAAAAATTTGAGCAAGTCCCTTAAAAGCAGCATCTCCTTACCTGAAGTAGGGAATGAAGAAGCCACAAGACGTTTTCAGTGCCGATTTGTTGCAGTGAACTGTGGTGAGAAGACGCTGTGTGAGCCTTTTATACCCGACGCACAGACAGGCTCGCTGCTTATTTTCAGATTTTAAATCTACGGCTTATCCAGTTAACAAAATCCGCCGGCGTAAGCTGATGAACCCCCAGATTCAGCAGGCTTTATGTAATTCAGTGCAGGGCTACATAATGGAATACAAGATAACAGATGCCCGGCAGGATAAGGCTGGCTGAGCCGCAGGTCACGTATGCACAGCAAAGGTGTTTACATGAGCAGGCAAATGTATTTTTAGCCCTGAGGATACATGAAAATGTATAAAGTGTACAGATTTACCCAGCCTGAGAAAGATGCAGGGTTCAAGAGAGATTCTGTCTTTCTACTGCATCTGTGTTTCCTTTAAATGTGTTCAAAACATTCCCAAAACCCTGAACAGGGACAGTTTTTCCAAGAGCATTAATGCTTTCTGTTATCATTATTAATATTAATTTAACACGATAAAACAAATCACTGCACTAATTAACTTAGTGTTTTGTTCTGCCAAGTCTATTTGTAGATTAAGCATTACTGCTCCGTCTCTTTAGCCTTTTTGCCTGTTATGTTTTATTCAGGATGTTTTAACCTAAAATTATGTATTTTGTGAGTTCTTAAACTTTAACAACCAGTGGAAAGAAATCAAAAATCTGTTTTCCACCTTCAACAAACAGTACAAATGTACAAGTGGTAAAACTGCAAAAAAAGAAAAAATTATATATATGTACTGGATGTTGGGTCATGTTAGGTCAGCACAGGCTCAGGTGTTCCCGGCTGCTGCCACTTACTTGGTTAAGTAATCTGTCTCTTCTTCAGCTTCGCCCTGCAATGTGTCACACAGGAAACAGCTGAGCTGCATTATAGAAAGTTTACACCACTTATGCATCCTGCATGTGCAGAGGTCTAAAAATGCACAAGCTTCTGTTTTACAGGTATCAAGGTGAAGTTATATTCAAAAAGCGCTCACTTTACGATATTATATATCGTCTACATGGTTTATTTAGAAGAAAAAAGGATAAAGAAAAGCTCTTCTTTTGATTTTACAAATTTTGGAGTCAAATGTCGAGCAACTGGTTTTGTTTTGTTTTTTCAGTTTTTGTGTCCCAGAATCCAAACGTAACCAGATCACTGTAATCCCTCTAACAGCTCTTGGGAGATATTTTTGTAAGGTAAGGAAGCCAATTTAAGACGAGTAGTGTGTCGGTAAATCCGGCTGCATTTTTCTGGCAGCCCTGTCATTGTTGTCGTTCTAACAATAACCTGTCCTGAAGATATTACATAAGACCTTTCTGCCCAACGTCCTCACCTTTTTAAATGCAGTCAAATCCTCGACACTGATGTGACCAGTCACGTGTCAGCAGCGTTAACTCTGCATCTCTAATCTGAAAACAAACGACAGGTTTAAATGATCCTGTTACAGACGCGCACTTGCTTAACTGGAAGGGAGCTCAGGTTGATCAGATCTGGACCAGAGCCATGTCAGGTTGACTGGCTCAAGTTGTATAACAAGCAGCTGAGTGTAGAAATATATGCATCCGTCTTATTTAATCATAGGCTGCAGTAACTATTTTGATACTCAACTAGCCATTCACTTTTCTCCCAATTAAATTTTCATTTTACAAAACTATCTTTTTGTGCATTAGTGAAAATAATTAATGACATAACTCTGGACTTTGGAAACAATGGAAATTATTTTTAGGCGATGCAATTAAACCAAAAGTAAGAGGTTGTTAAAATTGTTTTAACACCCAACCAATGTGGGTCACACTAAAAGTGAAAATGAATTTCCACATGAACTGTAATCTTAATTAAATGGGAAGTTTAGACAATAAGTATGAACTTTTCCACAGGTTCAGAAATACAGCAGGACTGAGCAGAGTGACAGACATGTGAATCTCAAATAAAGAGCATATGACTCAAACTTTGGAGTCATATTTATGCATTTCAATAAGTAAATCTAAATTAAAGATCAGCCACAAAATTAGTCAATTTTTACCTTTAAATCTATAAAATTATAATAAAGTGTTCCAGGCTGTCTTATTTAAAACTGACATCAAGGGCCTGGTGGCATGTCACCGTGCCAACATCTAAAAGGCTCTTTCAGGCTTTCAAAGAAAAGATTGTGAATGCCTGGCAAAAGGATTTAAGAGGATAAGTCATTCCACTGTAACAAAAACTACAGATCACCTCAGCCATGTTGCCAGTTTGTTCTCAGGCAGACGTGTGACCACCTGTTAAATTATTTTAAAGAAATGTGGTTCACACGCACACAGAGTTATACTTCTTATGTCTTTATTGAAAAGCTTAAAGTGAAGGCTGGAGAAAGTGGACATAATACCTCAAAAGCTCCTTGGATTGAACAGGATTTGTATAAATTGGGTATTGACAACCTGTGCTCTTGGAGTGAGGTTGGAGGGAACAGTGCTTTCATCATCAGCTTACACAGAGCAGCATTACGGAGGTGCACGAAAGTGGAGGAAAAAAAAAAAATCAATGCGCTCCGTGTTTCATCAGCATTTCTGAAGAAGAAATGAGAGGTTTACTAAACTAACCAGCACCCCTTCATAAATGGTTCCCAGACAACTGTGCAAATTTTAAGTCGATGTTGTAAATGGAAACCAGTGATCCAAAAAGTTGTTGGCAGTAAAACAAACAAAGAAAAAAGGTAACTGTAAATAATGATATATTTCTACATTTAATATGAAAAAGTGTTAATGCAGAAGCAATCGGGAATTCAGCTGACTGAAGGAGAACAAAGACCACAGTGCATATATGGCATTAAGAGTTCAAAAGCTTTACTCAATAATCCATGACTAACATTAAATCACAATATCTGGAAAACCAAAGGGCTGCTGTATTATCAAAGGTAGCGGTGAACATGTCCACAAAATAGGAGTGTTTTTGAGTGGCAGTGACCCCATTTTGCCATAGCTACTCCAGATAGAGTGGAAGAGGTTGGAAATTGCACGTGGACGTGGACATCCTGGAACAGCACTCCAACGCTTTACTTCAGAATGCTGTCATCATTTGCTGTGAGGACGAGAGCAAAATATGAGATTTGACAATGCAGTCGTGATTGAGACGTCCACATGTGAGCTGTACAGTATGTCTGCGTGAACAAGGTACCTTCTGCTAGCTGCTTGGCGATGCGCTCCTGCTCTTCACGGACCTTCTTCTCCTCCTCCTCAATCCTCCTCTCTTCCGCTGCAATAGGCTTCAGGTGATCTGAGCAAATCAGAACATTTATTAAGCTGAGGTGGAAGAAAAAGACACGCAGTTTCCTGATTTATGAGATACAACTATTGTCTTACACAGCACGTAGTATATAAGAAGCTCTGCCCAATGAATGGAAGTGTTTGACCTCATTACACTACACAGCTGCAGTAAAGGACAGTTCTAGTAACAACTTACCATATCTCCTTTTGCCATATATGATCCCAGCAATCAAAGCTGAGTACCTGGCTGTCTGCAAAAGAAAATGTGTACATGTTAGTGTCAAAAACTCCATAATGAGCCGGCTGAGATGCAAAAGAAAAAACACGATATAATTGTAAATGATAAATGATTTATGTCTGACAGTGAGAGCCATCCATCAGCCTCTGATGACCATTTGGTACCTAAAAAGCGAGCTACTTCAAAAACCCTCCAACAAAACACAGGAGGAAAAAGGTTCCCAGTAAAAGTGGAAACAACAAAAGGTGTTTCACCACTTGAGGCAAAAAACACACCACCGAGTAAAACCTTGCCATAAAGAGGGAGATACTAGCAGCTGGTGTTGTGTGACCCAAATGTAAAATGACTCCACTGAGCATCGCTGGGGAACTCGCTGACTGCACTGCATATGACAGGAAGGGCAAACGTGGATGGAAATGACTGATGTGATCACATGGTGGAAAAACAAGGCTGTAAGCAGCTGGTTAAAAAGCTTGATCCAAGACAGAAAATATTTTTCAGTTTTATTATATGACAGCATGGTGCAGCTCCTGAAGGGTTAAGTTTACACTTTAGTTCAACAATAACCAAAGTGTTAAGCAGTTATACTTAAGGCTTCCAGGGGAAAAACTGTCTAGGCTACTTTTGTAGTATGTTTAACTTCTCCTGTGTCTCTACTATTGCACTATAATGCACCTTGTTTTAATAGATTCACATTTCAATTATGGCAAATTTATTGAAATATTCTGATATTGTGTATTATACCGTCACACAGCTTTTTTTTTGTAGATTTATAGTGTATATATTATTTATGAATGCAATATTCATTATTGTCTTACACAGTGTCAGTCTGTAGTATATATACACATTTTTGCATTCTCATAGAATAATGCCCTTAGTAGGCGCCTGCAGCATTTTTAGTTTAACTTTGTTGTTTTCTCAATGTTTATTAAAGACTGTACTATTTGTATTCTTTATCCTGCTGCTGTAACACAAACTTCCCTTGTGGGATTAAAGTATTTATCATTTTGAGGCTGTATTTTCTAACACCAGCCGCTACACCTGATGACCTTTCATTAGTACAAAACCCACATTTGACTGAGGATTTAAAGGGCATTAACGACAGGGCACAAAGAGTAACTGTTCCAGTAAAAACATATCTAGTCTACAGTAACCTTATCCACCTGTCATTCACAGTAAGACCAGTAGGGGGCAACAGCTTCGCTCCAAAACAAGAGTTTTCTGACAGCTGACAACTGAAGTAGAAGGCGAACAGCAGCTAAACTTGTTTGATGCAGAGACAAATACAAAAACAACACATTTTTAGAATTAGTCATTAGTTATTTCCGGTGACTCCACTTTACCAGCCAGTTAGCGCTGCGGCGTTTAAATGAAGGCAGCTTGTATTAACTATCAGTCAAATCAAGCGTGATGTTCCGTAACAGTCACTGTTCTCCCGCACACATGTACGGTCAGTGCAAGCTGAGCTGTACGGCACAACCAAACAACAGTACAACTCAGGCTGCAGCTGCTCATTCATAGTTTTAGTGACACAGCTGACAGCTAGCATGCCCCTGCTAAACGTTAGCAGGTTAGCGTGTTCTCGGTAGCTAACTAGCAGCCTAAAAGACGGCGGTTTGTGCCGTCTGACTATAAAACACTAGTTTTATAACAAAATGTGTGTCAATGCAAACCTTAATCAGAGGTGACACTGCAACCGGAGGAACCATAGTTTCACGGCAGGCTTACGATAAACAGCAGAGGTCACTTTAGCACCAACAGGAGGAAGAGCGGAGGTGTCTTCTTCTTTAGGTCTTTCTGCCGCTGGTGAACTGCTGCCACCTTCTGGAACAAGTGGTCCTCTTCAGCCTTGAGGCCTGGAGTTCCCCACGCCTGATCTAGGCTGCAGCTCAGGCTGTCCAAGAGCTCAGTGATCCCCTTGTCCAGATCTGGATGGAGATCCCCCAGGACACCATCCGTCATCGCATTAGGAACATGCCCCGACATTTTCATGTATTCACTATTTTTGAGCTACTGCAATGAAAATTCAGCAAAATGGACTAGCCCGTCTACTTGTTCCAAACACATCAAC